TAAATAAATAAATAAATAAATAAATAAATAAAAGTAATAATAATAATAATAAATCTGAAAAATAAAAAGAACATGAACATGTGATCACCATCATTAGAAGTTAGGTAAGTATAAGTTACAGCTAGAATTATACCACTCCATACCTGCTAGGGTGATAATCTTTTTAAAAACAAAACCAAGAGCAGAAAAATCAAAAAACTGTTGGAGAGGATGTTGAGGATTGGAAGCCTCACACTTTTGGGAAGGAAATGTAATGTGGTACAGTATTGGAGGAAACAGCTCAGTAGGTTCTCAAAGATAAGCATAGCATTAGCACTTAAACCTTTTCCTAGGTGCATACTCAATTATTCAATAGAATTGAATATAAATGTCCAATTAAATACTTTATGGAATCATTTATAGCAGACTTATTCACAATATCCAAAAGGTAAAAATAATTCAAATGTTCATCAGCAGTTGAAAGGTAACCACGGTGTCTCTTTGGGGCTTTGTTAGGAGTTTGGCCCAAGGGCTAGCATGACAGCTGCCAGCCCTTCCCTGGTCACAAGGCCAGGCTCTGGTGATGATGTTACTAGCTCAAATTGCAAGATATACTGAGGCAGCAACAGCAGCCCCTGGTGGTGGTGGCAGTGGCTCTGCTGGGGAGGCTTGTGCATGTCTGGCTATAGCTTTTGGGACTTGACTAGGGTGACTGATACAATGACTGGTGTCAGCTCCACTGCACCACTGAGAGTCACCAAAGGCAGTGGAGGTCATTACTCAGCCTGGGTGGCTGGAGAGGGGGATAGTGTCAGCCTTTCTTGGGCACCAAGGACCAGTGTCAGTAGCAATAAATCGTATATTTGGATGGAGGCTGAGGATGGCTGGTGTGGGCTCTGCTGCAAGAGAAATGGCGACCTTGGTGGGCTTCAATGGTGAGTTGGCTCTGACCACCAGTGGCATGACCAGTGCCAGGTAGTTTATTTGTTCAAGAGGGTCCTTTGGCAATGGTGGTGCTAGGTCAATCAGAGCAACTAGTGCCTCACCCAGGACCTGATCTGCTGCAACAGCGAGGGCAGCTACAGCTGCTGGAATTGACAGTTCAGCCAGGATGGCTTCTGGTGTGCCTGGTACTAGTTTCTTTGGTGCTGTTGAGGGCTGTCCTTTTAGACTTTGGTGGAGACTTGGCCTAAGTGACTGCTGGCATGGCCAGCACTGGCCCCTCTGTGGTCACCAGGCCAGCTACTGGAGTCCATGATGACGGCTCCTGCTGGGTCACTGGTGGTCAGGCCTGGATCTGTGGATGGCCCTGGAGCTGCAAGAGAAGACAGCTACATGGCCATCTGTCCCTGCCTGTCCATAATTGGAGAGCATTCTGGCCTTCAGGACAAGCCCCTGCCCATGCACCCTCGGCAGGACATCTTCCTAGATTGCAACCCCTGCCTGAGTAGTCTGAGGCTTGCCTTTGCTTCTGACCAACTCCAACCTCTGGAGTCTCTCCTGGCTGGCAGAGCACCGACCCCTCCTCATATGGTCACAGGTACCCTCTCCAGTCCTCCTCACCCTCAGGCTTGGCCTCACTGGGCTTTGGATCCTCCAGCTGGGTCAGCAGAAGGTGCATTGGCATGCCAGGTCCAAGAAAGGCATGTTGAGCGGCATGTAGGCCACGAGCTGATTTAGGCCAGTGAGGCCCATGGTCTCACGTAATCCTCTGGGTACTGAGCCAGTTGAGTAAGGAGCAGAACAGTGCTTGGGTAAATGGGTGGGCAGCAGGATCAGAGGTCTGGCTTCTCCTTTAGAACCACCCTCCCATGCCATCCTGCAGGGGGCTGGGAAAGTTGGACCAGTGAGAACAAGCATGGCCCATGCCCCTCTGCACCTTCACAAGTGGCCTGGTTCATGGCTCCCTCCACATCTGCTCACAGATTTAGGGAAGGAAGGGAGAGATGACATGCCAAGCAGAGGAAATAGGGCATTGAAAGAATGAATTGAAACTTAAATTTTAAATAGTTAAACAGTAAGAGAGGGAATGCAATACAAAAGGAAAGTAAAGAAAATGAGAAGGTCCTAGGATGCAGCGCCACAGCAAAGGCAGTTCAGGATGGGGACTGTGGGGTGGCTGAGCTGATCCCTGATGGGTAAGGCTCTGCCAGCAGCAGTGATGGTTGTGCCCCATGGGCCGGGGAAGTGGCCAGTGCCAGATGTACTGTGGCTATGAGGGCCACTGATGCTGATATTTGTCCCAGCTGGGACAAATTTTAGCATCTTTTATACAGTGGCTTTCTTGGTGGCATCTAGGACAGGTCTTTGGGACTTCAGTAGCTGTTGGCACAACCGGTGCCAGTCCATTTCTGGTCACAAAGCCAGCCTCTGGCAATGACAGTACAAGCAGGAATTGGGCTTCTAGTGTCGAATCTGGAGACAGATCTGCTGAGACACAAGAGCAGCCACTGGTGGTGAGGGCAGTGGCTCTGACTGGGAGGCTTGTGGCATGGCTGACAGTGGCTTTTTGTCATTGGTGAAGGCAGCCCTTCTGGGGCTTGGCTCAGCCAGCTGATGAAATGCCTAGCGTTCGCTCTCTGTACCACTGAGAGTCGCCAAAGGCACTGGAGGGCTTTAATCAGCCTGGGAATCTGAAGAACTGGCCAGAGCCACCTTCTCAGCAGCAAGAACCGTGGCCAATAGCAGAAATGGTTGCTCTGGAAGAGCG